CCACGCTGACCCCTGCGAATTCCCCAAATGTGGGAATCTCGACTGCATAATTTCTGGTAGTGGGGGACTGCGTTCGCGCTCTCCCCTGAGCACAGTGGTTCAAGACAGAGTTCAGGCGGTAGCGTCGGACCCGGCTGGAGCGTCGCTTCCCTCTCTTCCTCGCCCTTGGGCCAGCCTCTTTTGCTCCCGTTGAGCTGCGCGCGCCTGTGGAAGGCCTGCCCAACCGTCGCTAGAAGAGTCTGTTCAGACGCCGAAAACTACTCGAAAGGTCCCCCCTCAAAGCGGTTTGACCAGGTGAAGGAACACGCAAAGAGAGCCCCCGGTGGCTTTTGTCCGCCAAGCGAGTGTGCCCTGTGGAACGTCAGGATTCTATTTGCCGGCCTGCCGCTGTTACTGACGGAACGAATGCAGACCGTGTGAAAGGTCATCATTTTATCTGCCGTTAAGTAAGCGAACGCTTCTGCTCGAATCAGAGGTAACTTTGTTTCAAGAACTGCAATCTTTTGCAGACGTCTGTGGCGTTTTGGGCAGAGGGACGGTTCTAAACCAATCTGAACCAGAGGCAATTTCGCAGCCAGCCGTCGGTGGTTTCCCGTCCCAGGAATGTAAGGTGCTTGCAGCGGGAGGTTGTTTCGTTAGCGCTTCCGCTTTCGTCAGTGAAGTTCTTTTGCGGAACGTTTGTAGATCCCGTCGTCTTCTTCAAGCTATGTCGTTTGAGCACTGTGCTGATAGGCTGACGTGAGAAAACAGGACACAAAACATACAAGGCAAGAGTGCAAAGCACGGAGCTCTAGGCAAAGGCGGTCCGAACCGCAGCAAAGCAGGAGGTCGACATGTCCAAATAGACCAAATCAGAAACTAAGCAGAGAAAAACGGCATCTGTAGAGAAAGAAAACAGATGGAGGAAAAGAAAGAAAGAACAGGAGGATCCCCTCCCCTCCCCCCATAGAGGGTCTGTTATCCCCAGATCGAGTGCGTCCGGTGGAATCCATGTGTTGGCAGCCCCAACTGATGACAAAACACAAAGCAAGCATCTGGAGGAAGCTCAAACTCTTCATGCGTTGCCACAGTTACTAGCGAGTGGTTTGCAGGCACAGGCACGTCTGCTGCAAGTACAGCGCCGTCAGGAGACAGGGGTTGCTGGCCCATTCCCCATGCTCGGTGGCTGGGCATCACCGCACTGGAGTACGGCCGATAGAAAACGGCGGCTGCCATTTGCGCCGCCCGGCAACTCATACTTACCTGGCAGGGGAGATACCATGATCAAGAAGGTGGTTCACCCAGGGCGAGGCTTGGCCATTGCACTCCGGCCACGCTGACTCCTGCGAATGGCGATTGACCTGTACGGCGTGCAAATTTCACTATAGATGTGTAGGCAATTACAGCACCTGATTGGTTGATTGAGTTTCAACAAACCATGAATGAATTGCTTTTACGAGTGAACAACCCCCTGGTGATGTCATCAAAACAAATAGTAGTAACTGTCAGAACACGTTCTATATGGTGTGGTGCTTTTGAAATTAAAGCAAACAACTCTAACTGTGCACAAAAGTAAACTATGAAATGATCATTTAATAAGTTTGTTATTAAAATTTAATAAGTTCCGTCAAAATCCTCATAAACCTCAACAAATGTAATATATAAATTAATATGTTATATCAGTTCTATAAATAAAATATTCATATGTAATATACTTAATAGTAGTAATTAAAGGTCAAACTTTTTTTAAATGCATAATGTTTAGTAGAATTATTCTTAAATATGTTTGTATAACAAAAAAATGCAAATATTTAGCTTCTGTTCTATTATATTATACAGATATACCATCATATTTCTAATAGCAGTGATACAATTACATAAAATGAACAATAATCCCTTACTTTGTTACTGGGTGAGTATTTTAATTATAGTAACTAACTACTTTGTAACAAATTACAACATTTCTATTTTGAGAGTGTAATGTCATAGGATATTTGATTAATGTACTGGTTTTTTTTTTTACACCATATTAACCAAGTGGTATTTGTATGTTGCAGGTGAAGCTTGATGTTAAAGTGTGGTTTAAGGATGAATCCAGTGGCATCCCATCTCATCCCATCCCATCTGATAAGCTGTCTTCGACTCCAGAGCTGGACTTGGAAAAACACAGAGGAGCAATAGACATTTCAGAACACCTGTACCAGAGATTACTATTAAAATGGACTGCATATTATTGTCATAGAGTTAGATAATATTATTCTAAATTAAATTCAAATGATTTAGGCAATTTTTAAAAACTAATGAAGTCATTCCCACAAATACAAAAACAAACACGAGGTTGTATTTTATTATCCAAATTTATTAAAAGTGCAAAAGAAAAGTTCTAAACATATTGTTAGACCTGCCTGACATAAAAATGTATACAATAGATATGCTTTGTACATAATAAATAAAAACACATTACGATCACTATAATTAATTATAATATTATTGATAGCAGTTATAGATATAAGAATATATTTGTATATATTAACAAAAAATTGCTGCCAGGTCAAGCATTCAGATATTAAAAAAAAAAGTTCCTTTAAAAAAACAAAGCTAACAATTAAAGTATAAAAAGCAACATTAGTAATTAGTTATTAAAATACTTTAACCTAATATTATATAATTATTAAACATAAATAAAAAAACAAGAAAACAATCAACGAAATACTGTAAACTGTAAAACAATATAACATACATTTCTGCAACAAAACAGTGTTACAAAAATCAACAAATTAGTGTAAAACACTGTAAACTTAAACAAATGTTAATATAACATTCATTTCTGCAACAATAACAACAATCAACAAATTAGTGCAAACTGTAAACGGTTGCATTTTTGCAACAATAAATTACAATCTACAAATCAGTTTAAAACGATGTATACTCTGAAACAATCAACTGGTAATATTACATACATTTGTGCAACAATAAGTGTAACAACAATGAACAAATTAGTGCAATCTGTAAAAAACTGTAAACTTTAAAACAAATAAATGTTAATACAACATTTATGCATCAATAACAGTGTTGCAAAAATTAACAAATTAGTGTAAAACACTGTAAACTCTCAAACAACCAACTGTTATAATAACATATACATTTTTGCAACAATAACATGGATAGAGGTCCAGTTAGACAGACTCGGAGGCCTGAGACTGAGAGCCCAAGAGAACGTCCACAGCCCTTTTAAAGTCTTCAAAACAGTCAAAGTCTGCCCAGCAAGGTTTGTGGACGTGGAGGCTTTGGAGCTCTCACAGTAGCTCTTCTTTCTGTATTTCTTGTGGCCTTGAGTTGGTTGGCCACACAGAGCACAGATGTAAACCTTCACTGAGGTTGGATGTCCAGAGCCACTGAGTTCTGCCTTTTTCCTCTTGTAGACTGTTGATCTTGAGGGCAACAGTGGCAGAGTGGATGCCTGCGGCAAGGAAACAGCGGGAGGTGCAGTCAGCGGAGTGTGTGTGTGCCGGAGTCCTGCGGGCATTGAATGGGCTGGCGCAGGAACTGGTTGAGCAAGAGCAGAGGGAGGGACAGGTAAGATTTGTGGGAGCCTTTGCTTCAACTTTCGGGTGCCGGCCAGAGAAGTGGTGATGGGATACTGCACTGCAGGCCGGCTGGTATGGGGTCTTTCCTCTTGAAGCTCCTCAGCGGGGGGCTGGCTGGTGCTGGAGACGCTCTGGTGACGACGGAGGACAGACAGACCCTGGTCGGTGACGTTTGTGGCTGACAGTGCCTCCTGCCTCCTGATGAACTCGCTCACGCACTTTGAATTTATTTTCAGGATGGGAATCCCGAGTTTGCTGAGCTGATCATCGTCCACCGTCACTCTCTGCTGCACACGCTGGTACAGTTTAGTGATCTGCTGTTTCAGCGGTGACTCTTTAGCTTTTCCTCCAACACCAGGATGAAGCCACAGCTGTTTGACCAGGCAGTACATCAGCTGGTTCTTTCTGGAGTCCACCAAGTGTGCGGCTGAGTAGCGCTGGCTGAACTTGAGCTTCTGCACCAGGGACGCCTCAGTCGGATCTCCACTGGTGCGGCCAAACAGAGCATTGCCCCAGCGTGCAGAGTAGAGGCTGTCGAATTGTTGGATGCTGCGGTCATGGAGGTCAAGCTTGTTCCAGGCGCTGATGACCTTTTGCCTGGTCGACTCATTTAGGGCAAGTTTTCCTTCCTCCAGGGCGATCTCAACAAGGACTTTACACAGATCCTCTACGTGCTGGTACCCAGGCAGATGATTGGGACCGCACACGTCCTCCACACAGGGGTCAAACTCAGCAGCCACTGCCTGATCGGTGAGGCACAGACGGTTCCTCAGAGGAGTCAGGCTGTCTCTCTCGTGGTCTGAGGAGTAGCCCACATCATCATCTTCCTCCTGCGGCTCTTCCTCTTCCTCTGCCACCCCAGCAGGAACATCTTCGTCCTCATCCTCATCTGCCTGAAGTGTCTCTCTAGTCTGAGCGTAATGATCAGGAGCACTGAAGGGCTCTGAGGACAGGGAAAACAGGTACTCCAGACCAATGCGCTCATCACCAGCAGGAACCGGAGGCCTGTAGTTTGCCTCCTCCACCTCCCCAAATAGCTCCTGGCACCTTTGGTTTAGGTGATGGACCAGAGGAGACATGTACACCATATGTTTCCTCCCTTTCCGCCCTTGGACGCTGGCTGACTCCCTGTTAGAATTCCAGCGTGCGATGCCAGCCAGCAGATAGACTTGAAACGGGACGGCAGCACAGTGGGGTCCCGGGATCATGTCAGGCAGAAAGGAATGAAAGCCCTCCAGACTGTTGCTTCCTCTCACCGTACTGTACCGCGCAAGACGAACACCGTTATGGGTCACATACTTGGTGATGGTGTACATGTTCCTCCCTGGTGGACCCTGGATGCATTCAAGGTGCTTCTGCTGGTTCTCCCAGACGTGGTCGATGGCTGCAGAGTCCTTAAACAGATGCACCTGGTTCTCATCCATCCCTGCGGCTCCCTTCAGGAGATCAATTCCTGTGCACCAACTGTGATCCTCCTGACGTAATGGCTGAGGTCATATTTACTGACACGCAGCTCGATGATCTGGCTGTCAGTCAGGGAGGCATAGTTGGTTGGGTGACCGGCACGTATCGCCTGTACCAGAAGAGCCATGTCGTCTTTGTTGTAGGCAAAGACGGCAGCAGAGAGGGCAGACTTGAACAGGGCATACTTTGGATGATGATCTGTCCGTAGGGCTGCATCGAATCGATGGATCCAATGAAAGATGTCCAGCCGTACCAGCATGCCCCTGTCCGTCCAGTCACTGAAGAGCTGCTCAACCGAGGACACAGCGTGGACGCGACAGCAGCCACGATCCACATACATGAGTTCGGGCGGTGCCTCGTCAGCTCTCCTGTACCTCTCCATGAGGCCTTCAGCCATCTGCCTCATCTTCTCCAATGACTCCTCACAGGTGAGAACAGATATGAGGATCTGCCCCTGCTCATTGGCCACATTGGTACACCACTCTGCAGTGCCTTTTCCATCGCCGGAGAGTTTCTTGCAGATCTGATAACAAATACAACACAAACAGATTTAAACATTTTTGTATTTTGTATTTTTTTTTCTGCACCAGACCAAGAAAGTAATAGTCACTAATATTCAGAAATGAATTAATAATGTGTTTTTGCATTGCAGCTCATTAGATTTCGGATGCAGAGCATGCAAGAGGAAACCTGAAGTGAAGAAAATGACACACAAAGACGTAGGTAAGTATGATTAATAATCTGGTGCGTGTGATGGTGACAAACAGGATTTTAAAGCACTAGTAACCCATATTAGATATTAATTTATTGATAATTATTTATTATTAAACAATTAATAATACTTTACTTATCAATTGTCATTAATAATTAATGATTAAAATGTCCCATGATGCAAAAGTGGACAATAATATTTTAAGGATAAAATCTCTCTGATAAAGGATTTCCTGAAAGAATAACAGTAAAAAGGTTTTGCAATACGTTTACAAACTGACTTTTTTTCCATTGTGTTAAATTTACCTTCTTGGTGGAGTCGTACTTCAGGACTTGCCCAAATGTGGACATAATCTGAGTACGGTAGTCCTCGATGTTATCTGCCTCTGAGATAAGGAACGCCTTTCTCATCAGTCTGGCAGATGTCGGCTCTCTCCGTGCTGGTGGTCGCTGGAACTGCTGGCACAAACTCCCTAAAAGCAGAGAAAACAGACACTTTGCTGCTTAATCTTTGAATAAATGCTCAAAAGGATAGGAATTTAAAAATAATAATTCTTTCATCATTTGCTGATCCTTTTAATGATTGTAAACCATTATGGGTTCCTTTTAAACACTAAACAAGATATTTAGAAAAATGTCAGAAACCTGTAACCATTGACTTCCATAGTATCTGTTTGTTTTTTTTACAATGGAAGTCAATGGTTACAGGATTTCGGCTTTCTTCAAAATATCTTCTTTTGTGTTTAACAAAAGAGAGAAACTCATAAAGGTTTAAAACTACTCATTTCTGGGTGAACTATCCCTTAAAGAAAACAATTAACTCTGACTTACGAGTGATCTTCCCAGGTTTGTTGTACTGGCTGAGAAGAGTGGTGTACAAGTCCTTTCTCTGCAGATAGTCCTCGCAGTGGCTCTCCTGCACCTGTCTCCAAACTTTCACCATGGTGTTTCCCTCAGTGCGATCCCTCATCAGGCGGATCACCTGCTTGTCCACGCCACGCCTAGAATCATAGGAGCAACACAATCATTAGATGATGGTGAGTCTTAACTTTTATTAGACTCTAAATAATTTTACAATGATTTGTATTCTGCTAGAGACTCACCGTAGCGTCAAGACAGCAGAAAACACCGCTCTGTGAGCTGGACTGAGCTGATTAAGGATGCACTGATCCCATGACAGGAAACGACCAATAGTATGCTCTTCCGACTCCTTTGCAGCCTTTCTACAGGCGTTGCATGCCAGGACCTCAGTCAGCATGGAGTACCAGCCAGACATGTGGCAGATCTGTCTTACCGTGGATGAATACCCACAACGGTAGAGAAAAGCCTTCTGATTGGTGCGTGCTAGGCAGTCAGACCTTGGGCACCGAAGACTGTAACGCCACACACCGACTGGTCTCCAGAAAAAAACGGAGCTGTGAAAAAAGGAGTCTGCTGAGGGGACTTTTCCTTCCACCACTCCAGGAAATTCTGGAGGGTGAAACCACATCCGGTCATCCTTCAGGACTTTCCTCCACTTTCTGTTTCCATGTTTGTCTTTATAAGACATGGCCCTCTGAAAGAGTCCCCTTTCAGCATCCTCCTTAAGCCACAGTATGTCTGCACTGGGCAGCCCATGAAGACCAGACTCCCACATCTTGTGCCAACCCTCAAATAACACCTGGTAATTAGAATAACCGAGACAAAACTGTTAAAATCAATTAAAGTTTTAGTATTAAAGTATTAATTTTTCTTATCTCCACAACCACAGAGTTCTTTGACAGTTACCTCAGAATGTGCTGGGTCACTGTGTGTTGACCCACCAGATGACCTTCTAGGTTGAACGTCAGAAGCTGACACAGAAGCTGATGCAGGAGCCGATGAAGAAGCCGAGGCAGGAACTGACGAGGCTGATGCAGGAGCCGATGAAGAAGCCGAGGCAGGAACTGACGAGGCTGATGCAGGAGCCGATGAAGAAGCCGAGGCAGGAACTGACGAGGCTGATGCAGGAGCCGAAGAAGAAGCCAAGGCAGGAACTGACGAGACTGATGCAGGAGCCGATGAAGAAGCCGAGGCAGGAACTGACGAGGCTGATGCAGGAGCCGAAGAAGAAGCCAAGGCAGGAACTGACGAGGCTGATGCAGGAGCCGAAGAAGAAGCCAAGGCAGGAACTGACGAGGCTGATGCAGGAGCCGATGAAGAAGCCGAGGCAGGAAATGACGAGGCTGATGCAGGAGCCGATGAAGAAGACTGGCCAGGAACTGATGAGGCTGATGCAGGAGCCGATGACGAAGACTGGCCAGGAACTAATGAGGCTGATGCAGGAGCCTCCAATAAAGAAGTCGACGCAGGAGCCTTCAACAAAGTAAGTATAATAGTTAAAACCTTTTTCATTGACATATTCATACTTTTTGCACGGCCTCCCCATCTATGCTCACAAAACTGTATTCAGGAGTATATACACCACCTAATTGTGATGTACAAATGATAAACTTACAGCAGACAGTGGAGAGTCTGAGTGTGGCTTCTGTGAAAGATCTTCACAGGAACGTTTTCTTCTCTTTGCTTCCCCGGCTCCTAAATGAGCACAGTTGTGATTATCAGAAGACAGTGTCTTAGTGTGATGAATTTTATTTATTAATGCATACAGTTGAAGCCGGAATTATAAGCCCCCCTGTTAAATTTGAGTTTATTTTTCACAATTTATGTGTAATGGAGAGAGGACTTGTTCAGGCACATTTCTAAACATAATAGTTCTAATAACCTAATTTCTTATAATTTATCTTTGCCATGATGACAGTATATAATATTGGGTCACACTTCACAATAAGGTTTTATTAGATAATGTATTTACTAACATGTACTAATTATGAACAATGCTTGTACCACATTTTTAATCATAGCTCAACATGTACTAATGCTTTATTAAAATAATATTTAATGCTTAGTTGATGGACTGTGAGTTGGCATGGATGACTGTAACACGAACAAATACTGTATTATGTGTATTGTTCATTGCTTGTTTATGGAAGTAAATGCTTTGACATTAACTAATACAAACTTATTGTAAAGTGTCACCCTTTAGGGTAACACTTTAGAGAAATAGTTCATTAGTTAATATTAGTTAATGCATTTACTAACATGAACAAGAAATTTAATACATTACAGTATTCATTCATCTTTGTAAACGATTTAATGTTATTTAAATTAAATAACGTTAGTTCATTAATGCACTGTGCATTAAGTAATGTCAACAAGCACAACTTTGGATTTTAATAATGCATTGATGTTGCACTGTAATTAATAAATGCTGCACAATGTTGGCGACACTTAGTGTTAGTAAATTGATTAACTAAAGGACTATTATACTAAAGTCTTACCATATTCAGCGTGGGAAAGTAAAGGCTTAACTAGGTTAACACTGTTTGTTCTGTAGCCAATAGAAAAACATAAATAATTAAACAAATAAAACTTTCTTCAGAAGATAATATACTATCCTAAGTACTGTGAACATGTCCTTGCTCCATTACCTTAAATAAATATTTCACAGGAGGGCCCTCAGCTGTAGTTCATGCTTCAACAGTATGAATAAATGTTAATAAGTGACATTCATTATGTGATATACTTGTCTTTCAGGGAAGCTGAGTGGTTTCTTCGGCAGACCGCCTTTGTCCTCAACTGCTAAAGGAGGAAAAAAAAAACACAAGATGGGCAAAAGTCAGTGTCAAAGCAGCAAGAAGACAATCTCATCAGCACAGTGTTTTGATATTGTGTGTAATTGATTTATTTATTAATAAAAGATTTATGCTATGGTACATGAACAATTAAAGTGATATACACCTTGTGCTTCGAAAGCACTGAGGGCTTCCACCAGTAGCGCATCATCCGCCCATCCACCATCACCTCTAGATCCCGACGAGCTGGAGCTGGCCGCCGCTGCAGGAAGAGGCCTGTCTTCTAGGGGTTTCTGTGAGTTACAGGTTGTAGTTTGCATGAAATGTTGCCAGCATGATATATATTTTTTAATAAAGTCACATTTAAAAGAAATAAATAAAACCTACCTCTTTGTTGAGAATGTACTGCCGGAACCGCTTCAGTGTCTTGACGCTGATGTCCTCCTCCTTCATCGTCAGCCACTGCCGCACAGAGCAGAACGCCTCCTGTGCCATCTTCTTTTCTTGGGCACTACCAGCTTGTGGATCCGCCTGCAGGGTCTTGTGCAGGCTGTACCACTGCCACATCTCCAGGAACGTGAAGGATCTGAAGCGGCCCTGACCGTAGATGGCACTGTCGACGTTGACCTCGAGGTGGCAGGAAACCTGTGGAAACAGTTGCACATACTGTAACAGAAGATCCTTTATATACTCACCTGGGCCCTCTTTTCTTCCTTGATGGCGACGCTCCTTGATGTGTAGATCCAGCACACTGAAATTTCAAAAAGATAATTAATTTGTGTAAAAACAGCTTATACAAATGTATAGCAACATACTTACTATTTAATGTAGCCAACGTCATTCTCCACCAGCCATTTAAAACTTTGTCCATTGTACTTGCCAAAGTTTAGAATGAGCTGGCCGAGATACTGGACCTCAGATGGCGCACAAGTAATGTGCTGGCATCTTTTTTTAGCTAAGACATAAAATAACATTAATGCAAATAACAGTCTGCAGTGTACGCATATGACAGAAACGCATAAATCAGATATTACCTTCCTCACAAGCAGTTTTTTTGTCCTGGCTAGTGTTCCGCTCGAAGCACCTGTTGCGAGAGGCCAGGGTCTTGGCGTCCTTCGATGGTTTAAGAAAGCACTGTTGTCTGTCCTGTGGCACACTGGTGTCAACGATGCTCAGGGTGGGCAACAGTGGATCCATGTCTAATTCACCTGTAAGAAGTATTCTTATAAACATCACAAATATAGAGAGGGAATATTGTCTTAGCTCTGAGCTCATGATAAAGTATTAAAAAAACATTTTGTGTGTTAAGTCTTTTTTTTTCCATTTTTACATGTTTGATAATTAACAAATAAATGAAATATCATCAACATAAATTATCTGACAAGGGTTAACAATGCTGACAGAGATGATGCATTTGACAGTGGCAATGAAAACATGAATTATCATATCAATTGCTCTGTTATACATTTTTTTCAAATGCTTACAGTTGTATTGTGTTTTTTAAGGGGCAGCTATTATTATCAACCTCCATATGGCTGATATAAGGTAAGGTAAAATACATTCTAAGCATGTTAAATACATAATCTCATTAATATGATATCATTTACACATATAATACTTGAAATAACATAACAAATCATATTTAATGTATGCACATTTTCATTTTAAAGCTTATAGCAGTAATTGCTGAATATGTTTTTGTCCCAGGCCTTGAGAATCAGTGATATATTATTCAGTCTATGGCAATAACGATTTTACTATATTCTTATGATAACAAATACAGGTATTGGTCATATGTTTTGTCCCAGTTAAGATGTTCTTCACTTCTCATAGTTACAACTAATGATAACAATCGCCATGGTAACATATATTGCTACATATAAAGGGATATTTATTTATCAGCATGTTTGTTTCTATATTATAATGAAACATCTGTGTATTCTGAGCTATCAAACCGACGCGATCGTCGAAAATAATACAAAAGCTAAACTTTTTCAGGTTTTGTGCAGCCAAATATGCATTTAAATAATATCACAGTATAAAAACAACTTACCACACGAAATATCTTGGAAAGGTGAACTTTCTGACGGCACAGCGTCACCAGCACAGACCAAACACTGCACAAAGAGTGAGAGATTTCAAACGTGATGTGATCTTAGCAATATAAAAATAGCTTACCACACAAAATCTCTGTAATGGGTGAACGTCTGACGGCGCAGCGTCACACACACAGACAAAATACTGCACACACAGTAAAATATATCANACGTGATGTGAGCAAAACATACTGTTTATCAGAACAGGATAANAATAACCTACCACTATAAATCACTACAACAGGTGTACTTTATGACGGC